ACTGCTGGGGGAGGTATTGAAGCAAGGTATGGAAAGGTATTCTAATTAACAAGGAACTAATGCAAAATTTTCACATTGTTTGGAATTGCGGTGAATTGTATATTGTAATGTATTGGGGGATATATTTTTTGTTGGCAATGTAAACTCCACTGACTTCTCTATACTCTATCACAACTGAACATTTTAATGCAATGCAGCCAAAAACCTATGCTGTTTTTAACATCATCTGCTCCTATACCCAATTTAAACTTCTGTCTTGAAAGTTTTATAACATGTTTCAAAGCCTCTTTAAATGGCTTAGAAGTAGGAAGGAGTTCTTAGAAATAGCAGTCGCCAATTAAAAAATCTACTTTGCACTCTTCAGTCAGCCAAAGCAGAGCCTAAAACCTGAGATCTGTAGAGGCTTTGTAGATCCCTATATAGTTTGGAAGCAAAATATGGAGTTTTTTTTTTTTTTGCCAAACGAAATAATTTCAGAGATTATAAACTCTGATTGCACTTGCTCAACTCTCCTTTACAGATATATAAACATTTTAAAAGACTTCTGTCTGTTTCTAGTACATAAACATAACAGAGACTCTTCTATGTGTTATTTTCTTGATAGGCTTAATTTTTTGTATGTGAACATAGAGCTGATGTACCTAAAGTACCTGGGCAAAAGTTAATTTTTTTTTTTCTCATCTGTCCATTGGACATTCTCCCAGAAACCTTGTGGCTTGTTAACATGTAGTTTGGCAAGTCTTGTCTGTCTATTTAATGATTAATTTTCAACAATGGTGTCCTCCTTAATGATCTCCCATTAGGTTCCCTTTGACACACACATCTGACACCAATGGTCCTTGATCCTCAATTTAACTTTTAATCTTTTAAGATGTTCTCCTGGACTCTTTCTTATATTATCAATCTTTGATTTGTCATCAGATTACCTCCTGTGGCCTTATCCAGGATTGTTGACTACAGTCCCATGGATCTTACATTTCTGAATAACATGCAATTGTAGTCACAGGAACATCAAGCTGCTTAGAGGTGGTCTTCTAACCTGTAACATGCATGTCTGTGATTCTCTTCCTAATT